ACGTGCAGGGGCTGCGCGGGGGTACACCCAGCGCATGGCTCAGCGACTGCGACGAGGTAGTGCTGACGATCACGTCGTCCAAGACGGACCAGTTTAACGCAGGTTGCGTACGCAACCATTACCGTTCGGGGGTGGAGTTGTGTGTCGTGGACGCACTTGCCGACCTCCAGAGGGAGCTGCCGGACCGGTTTGGACGAGGAACCGAGGCGGGGCTCCCCCTGTTCCGCCGGCCCGATGGCCACCCGATTATGCGGGAGGAGGTGCAGGGGCTCCTCCAACTCGCGGCTGCCGCCTGCGGCGTGGACGCAGGCCAGATGGGATCCCACTCCCTGCGCATCGGGGGCGCGACGGCGTTGTACCACGCCTGTCGCGACCTGGAAGCGGTCAAGAGGTTCGGGAGGTGGTCCACGGACGCCTTCCACGGATACCTCTGGGAGGACCATCGGCGTCAGGCTCCATTCGCCCGAGGCATGGCGGAGGGCCACGCCTTACTGGCCCCGGACGCCCGCGGTGATGACGGCGTCGCGGCCGGCGCCCGCCCCGACCGGTTGGCCGGGAGCGACCCGCCCCCGTTTGGGAGCGACCTGAGGCCCTCGGAGCGCCCGGCCTGGGCGCCCGGGCGCCCCCCCTGGGCGCGCCCTTCGGCGCGAGCAGGGTCAAATATGGAGGGGGAAGGAGAGGAGGAGCCGGTGAGATACGAGCCAGGGCGAGGAGTTAACGGGCGTGTTGGGAAGCAGCAGGCGGGTCCTACAGGTGCTCATTTCGGGGCGGGGGCTTCGCGTTGCGGGGGTATCCCGGTGGACCTCTCGCCCTCGACCCCCTTTTCGCTACCGCCCCCGATCGCCCCAGGCACGCCCACCTCCTCTTGGTCCTCTCATCCGCAGCCATCTCCCACTCCAGAGCGAGGCGCGCGAGCAGCGCGCGCACCCCAGCCTCGCGCGCCAGCCGCGCCTCCGCCCCGCGCTCCGGCAGCGTGCATCATGGGATTCCTGGTGGGCCTGGTGGCCCCGGACCAGAGCAAGGCGCGCGGCCATGACTACAGCATCATGGCGGTGAACCCCTTCGGCGTCGTCGTCTCGGGGGCCGCGCTGTCGGACGAGCTCCGGAGTGCCGCCCACAACATCCTGTACACGGTGGTGGACGAGCTGGACAGCGAGGACCTCGTCGAGGTGGTCAACCACGACCACGAAGCAGCCCCGTGCATCGCGGCGGCTTGCCTGGCCGCGGGGGCGAGCGAGGACCACGGCCAGCTGGTGATCGTCGACGGCAAGCGGGGCGCGTGGGGAGTGGGCGCGGGGCCGAATATCAAGGTCCAGCGCCAGGCGGCCAAGCTGGCGCTCGCCCTGGCCCAGTTCCAGGGGCAGCCCATGCCGGAGCTCCGCGAGCTCTGCAAGAACAACAGGGGGCTGCTCGACATGATGCGCACGGTGGACGCGGAGGCGGTCGTGGAGCTCACCGACGTGGACGACGCCTCGAGCAGGGGCGGGGGGAGGTCGACCCCAGCCCCGGTCCTCGAGCCGGGCGAGGACGCCGTGACCGCGGCGCTGGCGCGTGCGGCCATCCAGGCTGCAGCGCGGCGCCAGAGCAAAGGCGCTCCAGTGGAGCGCCCGCGGCCCCCGCGGTCCCCGGGGCAGGAGCGCCTCGCCGAGGAGGTCCGCAAGCGTGAGAGGCGCCCTGCGCCCTTGCGCTCGCCCTCGCGCGCGAGGCGCCGCGATCGCGAGCGCGATGAGCCTCGCGATCGCGGGCGCAGGGGACGGGAGGAGGAGGCCGTCCTGAAGCCCAAGACGGGGGGCGCCCCCCCGAAGGCCGACATCGTGAAGCGTGAGGCCGTCTTGAAGCCCAAGAGCGGGGGGGCGCCGCCGCGGTCCTTCGAGGTGAAGACTGAGGTGGAGGAGACGGCGGCGCCAGGCGCGGGGGACGGTCCGCCCCAGCGCCAGCCGCGCTCGAGGAGCCGCCGTAGGCGCAAAGAGGAGCAGCGCCAGGGCGCCCAGCAGCAGCCCAGTGACCAGCACGACGAGGGCGAGTCCATCATCCGCATCGAGCGGGTACCGCACCACGTCGACGCCGAGGTGGTCAGGCAGGTGGTCGTGCCCTTTGGGGTCGTCAAACACATCGCCTTCCTGTACGACCACCGCCACAAGCGGGAGCCGTGTGTGCTCGTGGAGTTCCAGCGCCGCGCTGATGCAAAGCGCGCGCGGGAGTGCATGAGGTCGAACTATCGGTTCTACAAGACGGACCCGTGCACAGTGGTCACGGAGTGGGCGAGTCGACCTCGCGGCCCTGACCCAGGCAGCGACGGGGAGGATGGCCCGACCATCCAGCCGCCTGCCTGCCCGACGTGCGCTCTCAAGATGCGCTGGAGCTCCTTTGACCCGGGAGACGGTTGGGGTTGCGAAATGTGCCCCGCGGGCGGAGCTAACAGCGGAGCCCTGCGGTGGCACTGTAAGGGGCGCGACGTGAGCTACTGCGAGGCTTGCCGCGTCGCCTTCGGCAAACCCAAGACGGTGGTGGAGAAGGCCCGGCAGAGCGGCCACACCGTGCGGGAGGCGCCGGGCCCCAGTGCCGGCCACGGAGAGCGCCCCAGCACGGGTGCCACGGGTGCGGGGGCTGAGGGGGGCCGCCCGCCAGGCGACCTCAGCTGGCCCAAGCGTGAGAGGTCGCCCAGCCGCAACCGGCCCAAGCGCGAGAGGTCGCCCAGCCGCAGTCTGGCGCGGGACCCAGCGTGGGCGCGGCGCGGCGACACCCCTCCCGGCCGCGCGCGGCGTAAGACCGGGAAGCACGCTGGGCAGCTTCGCGCTCCTCGCGGCGGCTGGTACGAGCAGGAGAAAAAGCGGCGGCGTGCTGCCGCTGCGGAGGCTGCCGCGGGCGGGGGTGGGATCCCAGCCTGGCGTGGCAAGGGCGCGGGCGACAAGGGCGGCAAGGGCGGCAAGGTCAAGGGCAAGCACTCCGGCAAGGCCGCCAAGGGCACCAAGAGCGGCGGCAAGGGCGACAAGAGCGGCAAGGGCGGCCACTCCAAGGGCGACCAGGGCAGCCGCGGCCGGAGCGAGCGTGGCAGGCCCAGCGCGGGCGGTCGCGCGTCGAGGGGCGGCGATGGCGGCAGCCCCCGGGACCACAGTGAGCGCGGCGGAGACCGCAGCGGCGACGAGAGCCGCGATCGCCAGGGGAACACGCCATCCATCTAGGCGTGGAGCGCCCCATATCTCGACGCCAGCGCCCGCGGCATCGCGGGCTGCGGGCTGAAGACGGCGGCCCATTGAGGCGGACCGCTATTCGGGACAAGCCCGTGAGTGAGCCGGCTTTCCTCTCAGCCTACGGTGCGCAGGTGGCGCCTGCGATCCTTTCAGCCTACGGTGCGCAGGTGGCGCCTGCGATCCTCTTTCTTTTAGCCTACGGTACGCAGGTGGCGCCTGCGATCCTCTTTCTTTTGAGGATTTTGAACGATGCGCGCACGTCGCGCGCTTCCTGGACCCGGCCGCGCTGCGCGTCCTGCGCGCCGTGCGGTCGGGGCCACACTTGCGCTCTGCGCCCGGCGCATCATGCGCCGTTCTTTTCTTGTTCTTTGCGCGCTTCGCGCACGCGCCGCGCCCGCGCTCTGGGTGCGCGGGGCGCGGAAGGCCTCAGGGTTGCAGGCAAGTGGCCGCGCGCGCGAGGCTCTTGCGGCCTCAGGATCCGCCCTCGCACTTCGGGCTGGGCGCCCCTGCGCGCGCGGCTGCGCTCTCTTTTCTCATGGCCAAGCGGCCGCAGGCGTGCCAGAGCGCGAGCGCGCGGTCCGTCGGGGCCCACGCGCTCGCGTCGGGCGTGGGCCGTCAGGGCCCACGCCCAGGTGGAGATGCGCGTCGCCACGCTGCCATGAAAATACCATCGCCCTGTCCTGGTCCCTCTCTCGTCCCCTCCTCTCCTCCTCTCCCTCCGTTGAGTGCACGCGTATCTCACTTAACTTGTATAGTCTGATTGGTTGTAGACTGCAGGTTAAGTGGGAGGGGGTGTGGGCTCAGGTAGCCATTTTGGGTCCGTAGCGTTCGGCTCTGGCCGACGCGCGGGTGCCCACCCACCCCGCTTTGCTCCCAGACGCCTGCGCGGGCCAAGCGGCCGCAGGCGTGCCAGAGCGCGAGCGCGCGGTCCGTCGGGGCCCACGCGCTCGCGTCGGGCGTGGGCCGTCAGGGCCCACGCCCAGGTGGAGATGCGCGTCGCCACGCTGCCATGAAAATACCATCGCCCTGTCCTGGTCCCTCTCTCGTCCCCTCCTCTCCTCCTCTCCCTCCGTTGAGTGCACGCGTTTCTCACTTAACTCGGGGTACTCCAGCGGCGGTGGGGGCAGCGAGTGCTCCACGCAGGCGCCGGGCCGAGTGTTTCTCGTCATCTCGTCTCGTTCTCTGCACGCGGCTTGTCCACGGTGAGTGAAGGCGCCGAAGCCGTGCAGCCTTGACGGGCGGGCGGCGGCCGCAGGCGGTTCTGGGGCTTGTAAGCCTGTGTGGGTTCTCGGGGTGGTTGCCCGTGCAGGTGTCCGATCTCGGGTCTCGTGCCCAGCAAGATGGCGGGTCGAGGCCCGCGCGTGCCCGACCCGCAGCATCTCCCGCTGGGCGGCCGCATCTTTGATGTCGTGGGCGTGTCGACTTCTGCCAGTAACTACTCGCTGGCCTCAGTTTCGGTAATCCAGAGCTCGCTTGTTCCTTGTCCAGACCTCCAACGGGGCTCAATGTGCGGGGCTCTGGAATCCCAGCTTTTTTCGTATGGATTTCGAGCCGTCCTTAGCACGGGCCCGTCCGCCCAAAGCAGGACCAGATGCCCAAAGTCAACAGCTGCGGTCCTGATTGGTTCAGGACGCATGAAATCCACGTCTTTGTTTCGCTACGTACCTGGCTAAGGAGAAACCTTCGGGACGATCCTGGTGTCGCCAAATTGCTATCGGCGAGACAAGGTTGCCGGAAAAGGCTTTTGGGAGAAAAGGTCAGCAGCAATATCCGAGAGCCTTGCCCCCTTGCGCCACCTGCTCCGCGCAGGCAACCCAGCGCACCCTCTCGGGCCACTCCAGCGGCGCCCTCTCGTCGGACGGGTCCGAGAGGTACTCGGGCGCCCTGGCCACCAGGCTCGGTGAAGTCCGAATCACGGGGATGGTGAGAGTCGACCTCTTCTCCTCCTCGGCCTGCTCCTCCTCCTCCTCCTTGTCCTCTTCGTTCTCCTGTATCTTTCCTTCCCTATAAATAACTCCTCCCTGCCGCAGCCCGGGGCCAGTCGGAAGGACGAGCCGGGCATTTCGCCGGAGACTTCTTTTCTCCAAATAGGCTTGCCTATAGGAGTCCTAGCTCATCATAAGTAATTGGTCTTTAGCACCCCACCCCGTTTTCCAATGACCACCCCGTCTTTTTCCAATGGCACCCTCTTTTTTCCAATGGCACTTGCTTGCTTGATCTTGCGTCCTTGCTCTCGCTTGCTTGCTCTTGCTTGCACTTGGTCGCTGGCTATTGCTTGCTTGTGTTTGCTCGCTTGTGCTTGCTTGCTTCCGCTTGCTTGTTTGCGCTTGGTTGTTTTTGTTCCTCCCGTTCTCCTCCTGTCCTGCTCCCGTCCTCTGTTCGTCCCCCTCCCATCCTCCTCTCGTCCTCCTCCTGTCCTCCTATCTATTGGGAGTCAACAGTGGCAGATATATCAATGATAACCTGAGAGCCTAGAAGTTGGCAGACGTTTCACAGATGGACGGCGGGCCGCTTCCAAGACGTGGCTCTCGCCTCGCCACAACCATGGCGTCCGACGTCTTCCCCTGCCTGCCCCCACTACCTGAGCCTCGACATCCACGGGCTTGCTGCCATCGCCGCGGGCGTGATCGTGCACCGCGTGATGAGGACGAGGACGAGGACGAGGAGGAGGAGGGAGGAGGAGGAGGAGGAGGAGGAGGAAGAGGAGGAGGAGGAAGAGGGGGGGGGCAGGAGGGAGACCAGACCAGAGGTCCCTCGTGGGACCCGGCTGGGTACGCACCGCACCGCGCATGGATCCGCGAGGTACACGCATGGCCCAACGTCCACTCAGGACGCGCGACGCCACCCTAGCAGGCGGCGGCTCTCCAGCAAGGCCTCCAGGGTGCAGCGCGCACCATCCCCATGCGTATACCACCCGTGGTCACCAATTCTGGAGCGGAAGCAAAAAGTGTTCGAAGCGACCCAGTAACGCATTGCACTATTTGTCACCAGATTGGAGAGCTCAGATGACGAACGCCAGGTACAACATGGATTGGAGCTCATGGACTTCCGCGCCCACCACACTGAGAGGATCGACTGTGTACTTGCTAGGTGGGAAATTGCACGGGTGGATGCCGACGCGGCTGGAATTGGGAACGGCAGCTTTCTTTTATTGTTTTCAAGTTCACAACGCTGGTTCGGGCCCTCTGTGTCCCACTGCACGAAGTGTCTTCACTTCTCCAGCCGTTCCACGGCATGTTGCCCAGTGCCCAGCAGGAGCACGATGGACCGCCGCCGGCCATGACGCCGACGCACACCGTCGAGCGCATGACAGGCAACAGCGCGCAATAGTGGGCGGCAGCGGCAGAAGCGATACCCACATGGTGGACGCATTCCTGTTGGGCGGGGATGGACAACAACAAGATACCCTGGCAGGAGCACCTGCCGCTGGATCCTGGTCAGCAGTTGCCCCCAGGCCCCGAGACGCTCCTGGAAATTTGGCCGCCCGGGCGCCCCCAGCAGCTGCGACGATGCGATCAGCTGCGCCAGCTGCGCCCACATGGGGGAACGCCACAGAGCAGGACGACCGCGGCGCGGACGCGCGCGCCATCTCGTCAGCATATGCGACCGAGTACACCTGGGACGACATGGCGGACCTTCCCGAGTACTAACATGCCCGGACATTCATCCAGTCAAACGACAGATGGGCAAGCCAGGGCGCCAAGGCCGCCGATTCACCAAGTGGACTTGCAGGGGCAAGGGCAAAGGCGGCCCCGGGGGCCCCCTGCGTCTCACAGGTAACGGTAATCATCCAAACGCTTGGAACTATGATGCCTACGGGGAGCTGTTCTTCGGCAGCCGCGGCAGAGGGCCTTGGGAAGGGGACCGTGAGCAGACAGCGCTCTTCTGGCAAAAGCAAAGGTCGACGACGAAATCCCGCCGGCAAGGACAGCCAGATCATGATACGCCATATTTGTGGCCTCAATACAGCACCAGTACGAGACCGCCCACAACAATCATGACGAGGCAGTGATCCCACCTCAGACACACTGCTCACGGGCACCGTGGGGTACTCAACCCTGCTGGAGTACAATCATCCAGAACAGTTGTACTTAATGGGGGCCATTGAGCAGCGCCTTCGACCTGATACTATGCGACGTGATGGAGCGTTACGAGATAGACCAGAACTACCCCATCAACGTCTGGTTCGTGGGAACACGACCCGGAACACATTCATCAGGACAGGATGAAGGACCTATTGCCTCGCCCTGCGGTATACTGAAAACAGGAGGTACGCACGGCATGCACTACAGGGTCGATGACGACAGCGGCATGCCAGGCCCAAACGCTTCGTCATCAACACTACTCATATTTGGGCCAGCTCAACCTCTTGACCCAAGTGCACCACCGTGTGCAGATGAGCCTGAGGTGCTGCATCTACGCCCCCTGGGTACCCAGCTACCAGCACAACACTTATGGGACACAATGCTTGAAGGCTAATTCATGCCGCATATGACCAACAGTATTGGGCACAACTGGGCGTTGACGCAAAAGAACACCCAGCATGCGGCTCTTGGATGTGGCAGAGCCGCGCCATGACAGATGCCATACGCACCTACGCTCTGGCAAAGAGGAAACTCGAAGTCTTGAGGAAAGATATCTGCGCACCCAGCACTTTAGATTCCTTCAGTACGATCGTGGATCTGCCCAGTCGGTACACCGATGGTGGTAGCGATGACGTCGCGGCCAGAAATACATCGGACCTCGCAGCGCCCGGCTCCCGATTCGGCCCCCACGATGACCGCGATGCGGAATTCGTCGAGTTGGCACGCGACGCACCAGACAGTGACGCGGACATTGCCAACCATGGTGCACGGACCCTTGGCTTCGCAGGTGGCCCCAGATCCGCGCGGGGCGACGACCGCCTCGAGGACCCACTGGAGGTGTCAGTACTGTTGGCTTTGGTCACGATCAATGCTGGAAACTTGAGTCCAGTTTCAATGCATTCATGGATCGACGCGCAGTGCGATTCGGACTCCTGAAATAGTACCCCAATCGGAGCCTTATCGGCCACTGCCGCGAGGCCCTGACCTAGGCCCGGCTCTGGCAACTGACACGTTCTACGGCGAGGCGGCTTTCAGGGCATTCATCGACTGCTATCTAGCACCAGAAGAGCACTTGCCTATCCCCGATCCATCTGCCAACGAGAAAAAGATCAGGCGGGAATGTCCTGGCTGGGCATGCCTAACACGCCGCATCTACGTAGACGACGTCCTGCCTAGCTGCCCATTCTGCCAATCTCCGTATCAGCGTCTTCTCAACATTCCATCCAGGTGTCGAAATTTCGGCGCGTCTTTCCCCAGATTCTATATGAACGACTCATGTCAGGAGGGAACCTTGCACCTGATTGATGACGAGGAGGAGACGCCCCAGCCCCCGCGTCGAGGCAGAGGAGCACCGAGACCTGTGCGACCGCCAGGACATGGTGGCCAGCGTAGAGACGGTCGAGCCCGACGTTGACATTCCACGCGGGGAGAAAAAGTTGAGGCCGCCCGAGATATACGCTGAGACGAAGCACGAGAACAGTTCTCCTGTCAGACATGTCGCGGACATCCAGGGATTATCATTGCGGGGGCGCGGTCGCGAACTACGACGCGCCGGACAGACGTGCGCCGATCGATAAACTCTTCGGGCGGCCGCTTCGCAGCGAAGAAGGGGCAGCAGGCCACGCCCACCACGCTCATCATCACCACGGCGGCATCCACTACCTCCGCCTGCGCCCGCGATGCACGATCAAGGCGCGAGCCCAGCTGCGAGCCGCGCCACCGCGCCAGTAGGCTTCAGGAGACTGACCTCACAGAAAGGTTCAGACGCTGGCCACTCAGTAGAATCGCGGGAACGCGGCCGACCTGGACAACCTGGAGCGCCGAGGTTGGCGCTCCTCACAGGTTCCGGCGCGTGCCGAACAACAGCAGCTCCTGTTGGAAGATCCAAGTAGACGGAGCCAAGGAGACCAAAAGAGGTAGCCTTGTCACTTCATCACCGCCCCCAAGATCCCCACCAAGGTCTCGCGAGACGGTCGGAGAGATCATCTTCAACATCTAGACTTCAGCGACATCTAGGAGGCGACCGAGCGCCATGGGACATGTCGCGGCGACGCCACTGGGACATCGGGATCGGCCTCTGGCAATACATGTACTTTTCGAGCCGACAGCGGCGACGCGTTCAGCTCGCGCGAGGAGCTGGTCAAAGCGGGATATGGGATGCGACGCGAGAACGCCCCAGGACAACGCGCTCAGGAAAACGACATGGCCAAGGGCAAGAAGAAGCTGAAGCCAATGCCGCACAGTAACACCGGCTCCACGGCGGAAAGGACACCCGGCAACGGCAAAGTACGTTCGCATCGCGGAGTTGAAAGAGAAATTCGAGCCTTGAGGACATGCGCAGACAATCCCCGTAATCACCAGGCACGCCAACCTTCTGGTAAAAAGCCGACTGGAGAGAAGCCTTGCCGCCCATTTGCACATGCCAGATGAACCGCTGGCACCCTGCTAGCACCCCACCTTGCCTCTCGATCCGCACATGGTTCTGTAGGCGAAGAAGAAGATGGCCAGCTACGACAGGCTATGCGAATATCTCGAGAACCTGAACGCCAGGGCCAGGGAGGTGCTCGGGGGCGCCCGACCGCCTCTGGATCTGGCCTAGGACCCAGGGGTGAACCAAATCCGCAGTGACTTCGTCGGTTCCTTCACAGGAAACAAGGCGCCCGCGCTCGCGCGCACTGGCGACAGCACTTGCGACCTTGGCGCCGACGACAGTCACATGGACGAGGCCATCCATGAGATTGGTTTGGGAACGGGTTTCTCTGGCGAAAGGTTGTCAGAGTTTCTTCCCTGGCTACTTCGGCGCGGCAACG